ACTAGTCCTGTTTAGCAATGAATGATTATAAATTATAAAAATAAAAAAACAAAAAAAAAATAAAAATAAAAAAGCAAAAATAAAAATGATCATTTTTTATTTATGCTTATCAATACCTGTGCTTATTACCTGTGCTCATCAAAATTGAATAATTACTGTTTTTTAGCAAGAGTACTTTACCATCAAGTCGAGTACTCACTTCCATTCCCTACAAGCATGTTTTACCTGAAAAAAGTCTCTATTTTTTGCAAAAAAATCTGAATTTTGCGAGTTTTTGCTGGTGTCTTATTTACGTGGCCTTCGAATTCTGTGTATTGAATTTTTCTGTATATTTCTCTATTTTTCGTTTGAAAATAAAACTAAAAAAAACCCACCGGGTCAAAAACACATGAATTCATGAGTGTTATTATATGGCTTATTAACTGCACGACAATTTCAAAATCAGTTACCTGCTGATTTGTTGTCTACTGAAATCCACGGAAATTTTGCAACTCCTCTGTCCTTTTTTTTTGAGGGACAAAATCTGCTTAACTTCCAGTTCTGCCTAGTCCGTATTTACAGCTAAGGGATTAAGAACAATTATTTTTGATCCTCTTCCCAAAGTAACGCTATGCTGCACATCAGAAGTATTACGGTCTGTGTTGTAGGAGTTTGTGGAACGTAAAAAATTTGAACAAAACGGTAAATTTTTATAGTTCCTACAACAAAACAGTAACAGAACCGGTATTAAGAAAACGAATGGAGCATCAGTATTTGAGGTTTCCGGTCTTGAGTTGTGAGCACCAGAGCGAAAAACAGTGAAATTATAGCTGACCGAATGAAGGACTAAGGCTGAAGCACACGTATGTAACACGAAATCATTGCACAAAATCATCACCGGGCAAGCACAAACGATACTTACGCTTAATCTAAGCCGACTATAGCAATCAGGTTGACTTTGGAAATCTAAGCTGTTTGCTCGAATCCATCAGTTCGATGAATTTACACACATACAGCTGCAAACATTGAAAAATTTTTGCTGAGTTTTCGCAAT